CGTACACAGGGAACATCAAGGTCTTTTCGGTTGTATTACCTGTGGCTATGAATATGTTGCCACATGTGGTTCTCCACAAAATGTGAATATCGAATGGACGCACAGTGGCAGAATGAGTCCTTTTCTGCTCTTGACTCATGCAGCATTATTCAATGTTAACCTAAATTAATTCTGGAATTACTGAGTGCCATAAAGGAATTAACATGAATGTATTACAATATGCACTGTACATTTATATGGTTAGGCGCTTTTTTTCTTTTTGTCTAAAATTGGACTCTTGTTGCTGGTAAAGTTGAAAGATATATACATATATTTATTTTATTTTTTCTCACAAGTTTAATAGGTAGGGAGAGGGAACTTTTTTTATTTTTTTTTTATTTTTTTTTGGTCAAGCTGCCGTGTTCTCAAACTACTTTTGAGGTGGTTGTGAACTTAAAACAAAATGTTTGTTTTGTTGGTGTTGGTTTCTAACTTTTACATCTTTTGCACTCCTTGTGATGCACCCAAACCTCAGCAGTGTTGCTGCTTTGCATCACTTGCGATGTGGAATCTGATTTAACCTATTTGATTAGTTTTATAAATATGTTTTCTGGATTTGTAAAATCAGTATTTTGAAAAGTTTGAAGGCCTTGGTATAGCCAGCAGAATTTAAGGAATGCAAAATTATTCTATTCCGCAGTGGTACCAGGCAAACTTCTTTTTATGCATACTGTACGCAAATTGCTGTTTATGACTCTTTAAAGTGCACAATCCTTCCGTTTCACAGGTATATATTGGTATTTGGTGTCGAGACACTCTAAATGTAGCCTGTGACCCCCACCCACTTATGTCTATAATCCAGTGGTTCTGTTTTTCTTGATTATCCACAAGATTGATATATTCACAATCAAAGCCGGGTAATCGATCCAATGTAGAAAGGTTTGAAAATAAAGGCAAATAGCAGGCATTAGCTGCTGTAAAATACAGATTTCTTGAAGCAATCCAAATTACAAAACAAAAAAAAAGGTAATTTCACAATGTTCACAGATATAATAATTCTCCATAAATGTGCACTTTAGTAAATGTAACTAAAGTTAAAGCATTAGTCTTTTAAACCTGTCTTTTAGGGGTTTAGAAATAATATTAATATGTGTGTGTGTGTAGGTCAGTTGGGTTTGCTCACTTGTGGGTTTTGCTTTTGTATTACAGAAAATTTTGTTGCTAGATAGACATTCAAGGAACGGTTAAAAATTAAAGCTTTATACCATTTCCTTCCGGAGTTAAACACTCTTTGACTATCTTCTAATAAGGCATGTGCTATTTTTTTGAAGATACTTGCATTCCAGCAATAATTCATTTTTTTTAATTCAGCTTTTAAGCATGTTAATATTTTACACTCCCAGCATATACATTTGCCAATATGTTTATGCATTTACCTCTGGGTTATGAATTAGAAAAGCGAGAACTATAGATTTGTAGTTTAACGTCAGGCGTTTGCAGTCTTAATGAGATATAAAGATATAATTCCGGGAGATGCGGTTGTTCAAATTTAGAGAATTTAAATCTAAAAATGGTAAAAGGGATCTTTTATAAATTTATATTATGTGTATTTGGTTTTGGGCCAGCAGTTTAAATTATGTAGTGCACCAATCTTTTTTTTGATTATCTATTTTATTTCTAATAAGTGATTAAGGGTGATTTTTCTTTTCTTTTCTTTTTTTTTTCACCTGTGATTGTTCTGGCTGTAATGGTAGTAAATCTTATCCCTAGTAGTACAGTTTGAAATATAAAGAATTATTTTCTTGTCTTGGGTTACTTTTTTTTGTTACTGAGTGTTTGGCTGTACTGAAGATGTTTGTCATTTTATTGGGTTTAAATAGAACATAGAAGGTAAAATTATGCAGTGAACATCTGTAGAACGTGAAGCTCTGTGCACTCAAGTAGAATGTGAAAATCTGCATGATGCAAATGATGTTCTGTGCACTTGATTAGAACAGCAGCCAAACATGTCATCATTACAAGGACCATTCTCTTGACCACATAATTATTTTTGGGGGGAACATCTGGTGTATCATTATTATGCACAATCAATCACACACTCTTGTCACTTAAAGTAATACTCCGGGCACCATAAAAAGTTAATCTAATATTGTTGTTATTGTGCATGCAGTCTTACCTCTAAGTGTTTTAACAGGAACACCGAAGATTTGCCACAGTCACTGGTATCTCCTTTTCTTTTGCTTCGTCTTATGTGTAAGTGTGTGATTGTGCACACAAGTAGTGAGGAGGCAGCAGTGATTGGCTAAGACTGAGCTGATACTCTGTCTGTCACTGGCTGCACATCATGAGTAAAAGGATAGCAATTGGCATATATTTGCTCATGAGAATTGTTTAACACTCAAAGGTAAGACTACGCCAGAGCATCCTAGGCTCGATCACAACTTCAGTGACATGAAGTTGTCATAGGGCACAAGACTGTTCCTTTAAAATATTGATATGAAAGTTTGAATGAGGGATATAGAAATTGTAACAATGTTACTATTTTGGTTTAGAAAGCATCATTATAGTTATTTGTTATGAACCAATATCGTGTAGTATTTCCCAATGAGTTAGCAAAATTTAGTTTGTTAAAAAACTTTTATACATAAAGAAACATTCTTTAGGACACTGAAATGAAGTATCACTTTTAGATTGGTGATAGTTAATGTTTTTTTTGTTTGTTTCACTGTAAACTATTTAGAAGCTTCTTACATGCCCTTTGGGTGATCAGCATGTCCATCTGATAATACCATACACATGAATGTATTCAGTGGGGTACACACGATCCACGGAGCCCCGGTGCGAAAACTGATCCATGCCGCCCCCACCACCCCCCCGCCCGGTGGTTACACTGCGCGGGCTTGGCCACGACACATGGCACCCAGTAGCAGGAGTCCGCAGGGCGGCCGGGCCCCCTGGAGTAACTGGCCCGGTCGCAGCTGTGATCCCTGTATGTAAGCCACTACACACACATACAGATACACATATATACAGACACACACACATATACAAAATATTTTAGTTACCCTCCTGTTTCCTACCTTTTAGATGCAGGAGGGTGAGTTTCCTGGGGTCCAGTGGTGGCTCAGCCTGATGGGAGTCAAAGTTCCCACTCTGACTCCCTCCTCTCTTCCTCCCGCACAGCTCTGTCTGTTAGCTGGGAGGAGTGACTGGGGCAGTCACTTCCTCCTAGCGTCTAATGTCATGTCAGATGGCCTGGTCGCGCTGTTAAAGTGCCGCAGCGCTGACCGGGCCTCGTGGAAATTCATAGCCATCGGATGGGCCACACGATGGGCCCCTTCACGTGCATCCCCGGCGTTTTTACCGTGCGGGCCGGGGCCACAACACCTGGCGACGGGCACCTGGTCCAGGGGTCCGCAGGGTGGCCGGGCATGTTCGCAGCTGCGACCCCTGTATGTACGCCACAGAATGTTTTCTTTTACATTCAATGTCAGACCATGCATGCATTGGATGCAAATATGAGGAAAAGCTCAACTGATTACTTTGGAACATGCCTTTGTCTGACTTCATATAAATGAAATTGATTTTATTCTGGACAGGTAGAAGAGAACTTTATCCAAATAATTCCATAACAAACTGAGCTTGTAAGGTGATCTGAAATATGTTGACTTTTTATAAATAAAACTAATAATGTAAACATAGCTGGTATATCATAGAGATGAGTATGTCATGTGTGCTGTCATATTAAATGGCCCCCAGTGCTCTTAGATCATTACTATTTACAGTTGGACAGTTTATTACATTTTCTGTACATATGTGCAGAGTGACTGTAGATGCTGCAGCCCCTGTTTTATCAAACGTCTCCAAAATACACACACATAACCATAACCACTACAATAAGCTATAGTGGCTATTGTGGTTACAGTGCCCATTTAAACACCCTTTTTATTGTATCTCAATATTCTGTGTTTCACCTAGCTGCCTGCACGAGGTGGCCAATCACATTTACCCTGTGGGTTAATTTGTGGCAACATGTATTGTGTTGTGGTTCCTGTTGTTGTAGCTGGGGCAGCAATGATTTTTAAAAGGGTTTAACACATTTCCCCAGGAAAGATCTTGCCAGTTTCAACTTTCCATAGGTAGCAAACTGCTTCTTTCCCAAAACTCAGAATACAGTGTTTTACTGTATCAAGTCACTATCTCTTTTCCAGAGCTGTCACTAATTGTCCTGATCATTTTAAAACGTGTGTCCCAGCCCTCTGAAATAAATTATTCACTACTGGACAATGGTGTGTATCCATCACAAAACAGCATATTCCTTACAGAGTCCATAAAATACACACACACACACACACATATATATATTTTATATTCAAAATTGTAGCCATATTTGTCCAGTGAACAGATTAATTTTGTATCTTGTAATACCTTTTTTTTATTGGACTAACAATTTTGTAATGACAAGCTTGCAGGAGAATCTCCATTCCTCTAAAGCATATATATTTTTTATTTGCAAAATGCCAACATATTCAACAGCAGGAGGCAATTATAAATTTCCTTTCATTCTATCCTGAAATGCATATGTTTTTGTTTTGTTTTTATTTACAAGTGTCCCATATTAGGGGATAGATCTGGTCAACCTAATCGGTCCTTAGGATGTCTGTCATGAAACCTGTATGTGTTGCCCTAATATTTTAATTACATTGTATAACAAAATGGCCTAGGTTGTTTAAAATATTGTCATGCTAGTAAGGCTGTTGTGGACAGGTACAGTTTATTTTAATGCATACTAAATATGTTTTAACAACCGTTGTGGGATCTTAGGTAGACAGTAGAGATCTAATCCAACATACCTTTTTGTTATTGAAACACTCCAAGCAACCTAAGTGCTACAGCATTATCTGGTGAAGATCTTGGCTCTCCTGGTAGATGTAGACATGCAGTGACTTATTATGTGTGTGTGTGTGTGTATAATATATATATATATATATATATATATATATATATATATATATATATATATATATATATATATATATATATATATATATTTGGGTGTATACATATATTAAGTTTTATACATTGATTTACTTTTTTGGGTTCATTTTGTGTGTGTGGAAACACAAAGTAATATTTTATCTTGCTAGTTGTGAGGTAAAATTGCAGATCCAACTTTTCAATGAATTAGTAATTAAAAAACATTATTTTGTAATGCCTGTGCCAATTAATGGGTTAACCACTGAGCTGGTAAATAAAGCTCTTTTTGGAATTGTGTGACACCGCCAAATATCCACATGCATGTGATTGTAAGGCTTTCTATTTGCTGCTATGTGATCTGTGCTGATTTAACGATCCCCTCAGACTTCTTTTTTTTTTTTCTTTTTTTAATGTTCCATTTTGTGTGGTTGTTGGGAAAACAAGCTAAAAATAGACTACAAGTACTTTGTCATTCCTTTTTGATTAGCTATTTAATGACTGCAGGACCTCATCTGTGCTTTAATTACCAGTTCATTTAAGCAAATGAAGCAAGCTGGCTTCAGACTTCCTGTGTGCTTTGTAATGCAATGTCTGTGTTTAAATCGGGGTTGGACAATCTGTTTCCCTCAAACTGTTGAAGCACAACCAACCATATCACTCTTGTCTTGCCTCAAGCTATTTCAGAGTGATGGGAGTTGTAATTGTGGTTACCCAAGTTGCTACCGCTCAGCACGGGTTTTCATTTTAAAAAAGTGTGTACATGAATATCAATGATTTGGCAATGCCAAAGTTTGACAAATGTTTGTATAATTTAAGAGACAGACATACCTGTTTAAGAGCCAAGTCTGACTTTTCATTTTGCAGCTAAGGAAGGGTTCATCAGCCGAGTTCCATATAAAATACTCTACGTTTAAGCTCCACGAGTATATGTTTTTGAGCAGGGCTCCTGGGTTTGCCAATTCCTTTTTTAGTGTATTACAAACACTTATTGACTGCTATATGTGACCGTTAGAGATGCTACCTCGGCCATGTTATTACAAACAGGTATGAGTTCCACGTGATCTTGTGGGTGCATGACCAGCAGTTTCTCTAGAATTCACATGTTGCTGGAGGTAATCACGCAACCACTTTGTTGCACCAGCTCCACAATCCAAAATACAGCTGTTAGATTAACACTAATTACCAGTTTACAAAAAAATGCTGTGACTGCTTTGGTAAGCACTATACCTGTTTATATAAATATCAAACCCTCGAATGCCAATTTTGTAAAAAAAAAAAATATTTATGCAATGAATCCCTATAGTAGTTTCTTGAAGTTATTTTTTAAAAACTTTTTTTTACCTAATCCGTCTTTTCCAACCAGATATATTTAATGCTCTAGACTAAAATTGTAATAAAGTATAGACCTTTTTATGTTTTGAAAAGAACAAACCACATCGATGCCAACAGTGGAACTGTAATGTACAGCTGCTGGTAAATAGAATATTCTGAGAGAAATGGACTTACATGGTGGTCTATTTGTGACATCATGTGGCATTACCTGCAAATAGATTGCTATGATGCAGCACAATTAATTTGCATAATGCAACAAATGGTGATGCAGTTTGTGAACAGGAACAGTATTTTAAATATTGTACAGATTTGTTTTTTTTTCTTCTGCTTGAAAGTCTGCTGGCACAGTGTATAGAAATGTTTTATGATCTTCTTTCACATTATTCAGGTGACAGATTCCCTTTTATAAAAATTTGTGTTTACCTTGGGTCAATATAGCCATATGGGTGATATATTGCTGTAAAACGAAAACAAAACAAGTGTGTGTGTGTGTGTGTATATATATATATATATATATATTACAACTGTCTCCCTATCCATTTACAGAAAAATATTACTAAAGACTTTTTTATTTTTTTTTTTTTTTTTTTAATTTTGTATCTTCAAATCTTTCACAAGGTGTGTCTGTAGAAGAGATTGTGCTTTAATCTGTGAACCAAATTAGAATGTGCTTTACTTGTCAGGGCTTTTGAACGCAGATCAGCATGCTAGTTGATTGCTTGTGAACTCACTTGGCTTGTCCTTGCTGCTTCACTAAATGAAGAGAAAGCTGTCTACACTCATGCAAGCACATAGTGCCTATATGATGGCTTGTGTCAGCATTGATCCCATGCAGGCCTTTTGTGCCTCACTACAAAGAAAGACTGGTAAATGTGCTAGGATGTGGAATCATAGAAAGTATGTATGTGTGTGTGTGTATAAAATATATTTATAGCTCCCCAAGCCATGGGATTTAATCACATTTTTTATATATATATTTAACCATGGACATAAATTAGGATTACTTGAGCTTTAAGGAGAAGGGGTTTACACAAATGTTAGTTACAGTCTACTATATCTATGTGGTCTTAACCTAAAGAGTGTTTGCCTTAGTGTTTGTGTCAACAGGGTTGTAGTAACATCCAAAATCCAGTAGGGGTCAACATGTAAATTCACTATATAGAAGAAACCCTTTTCACTACAAAGCTTAATAATAAAGGGAGTATTTTTTTTTTTTCTTTCTACGATGAACCTTTGCCATCCTAATTCTTGTAGTCAGAGCGAATAGTTTTGGTTATAATGATTCTGAAATTTACATCACTTTTTTGAGATATTTGATATTCCATCAGCAGAAGTCATTGCAAGGAATACTTGTCATTATGCTGCCCTCTATCATAGTATAAACGGCTCTCATTTTATTTTTGGATCCTGCATTTCTGATTTAAAAAAAAAAAAAAAAAAAATCCATTTAATGAAAGTGCTGCTTTAACTCTCTGAATGCTGGACGGGTCTACAAAGCAACATTCCTCAATAGCTATATATATATATATATATATATATATATATATATATATATATAAAAATTATATTCTCCCTCCCTGGTTAATTGGTTGCTTTGCAATATGTCTTTTTTTTTCTTTTTCTCTTGTAATTTAAATAATTTAGTAATCCTATATAGTTGGTCAGAGTTTAAATGAATAGAGGTGTTTTATTTTTAATTTATATTTTATCGAGACATTGTATATATTGGTATGTTTAAAAAAAATAAAAATATTTCTATATCTACAGCATATTTATTTATGACAGAAAAGTACACTTACTCCACTGATATTCTGCAGCACAGTGGATGGCAGAGTATTTGTTTCCTCCAAGCTACAAAATATTTTAATAATTTTTCTGGTTAACAGCTTTGATAATATGTGCAGACCATGCCTTTTTCACATTACAGTGTGTGTTTTGAAAAGGCTTATTGGCTTTTTGAAAGCAATCTGTATTTAAATTGTTGATAACATTTTTCCTGCCACAAAATATATATGTCTAAGAAATTCAATGTTGATATAAATATTGTTTTAAGACCGGTCTTTCAATTTAAACATTTTTTTTCAAGCCTTTGTTCTTGTTACTATGGTAGACTTGTGTTGCTAATAAAATGTTGTTGGTAAAAAAAAAAAAAAAAAAAGAGGTCTGTGGCTTTTTCCCTACCCCCACTTTTTATTCTTTAAATTCTTTGTTATTCCTCTTATTTAATTTTTCACTGTTTCTCTTCTCCAGCAACTCCCTAAAAGGAGCACTCCAGCATTAAATACATTGTAAATTAAAACATGTACCCGTATATACTCAAGTATAAGACAACCCGAATATAAGTCGAGGCCCCTAACTTTACCACAAAAAAATGGGAAAACGTATTGACTCGAGTATAAGACTAGGGTGGGAAATGCAGCAGCTACTGGTAGATTTCTAAATAAAATTAGATCCCAATAAAAGTACATTAATTGAATATTTATTTACTGTGTGTGTGTAGTGTGTGTGTGTGTGTATATAATGAATGTAGTGTGTGTATATAATGAATGTAGTGTGTGTGTGTGTATAATGAATGTAGTGTGTGTGTGTATATAATGAATGTAGTGTGTGTGTGTATATAATGAATGTAGTGTGTGTGTGTATATAATGAATGTAGTGTGTGTGTGTATATAATGAATGTAGTGTGTGTATATAATGAATGTAGTGTGTGTGTGTGTGTATAATGAATGTAGTGTGTGTGTGTGTGTGTGTGTATAATGAATGTAGTGTGTGTGTGTGTGTATAATGAATGTAGTGTGTGTATAATGCAGAGTGTGTGCATTATATACACACTCTGCATTCATACAAACATACACTCTGTGTGTATATAATGCAGAGTGTGTGTGTGTAAACTGGGTGGGGGGAGGGCATTTTTATTTAAATTTATATATATTTTTTAATATTATTTTAATATATATATATTTTTTTGTTTGTTTGTTTCATTTAATTTTTTTGTCCCCCCTCCCTGCTTGTTGCCTGACCAGGGAGGGGGGCCATGTGAATCCCTGGTGGTCCAGTGGCATTGGCTGGCAGCGAGCTGTTACCTTTACAGCAGCTCCTGTCAGCTTGCAGTTCCTCCGTTCAGCTCACAGTGTAAGTCTCGCAGTCTGCGTGCCGCGCGGAGCATTGCCACAGTAACCCGTGGCAACGCTCTGACGGCTGCGGATGTCGCGAGACTTACAGTGTGAGCAGAACGGAGCTGACAGGGGATCTGCACGGAGGTGAAGGGAGCTGACAGGAGCTGCTGTAAATGTAAGTAACCGCTCGCTGCCAGCCCCCAACAGGACCACCGGGCTTGTAATGAGCCCGGCGGTCCTGGTCTGTATTATGTAAGTTGCCATAATACAGACCTTGACTCGAGTATAAGACGAGTGGTGCTTTTTCAGCACAAAAAAATGTGCCGAAAAACTCATCTTATACTCGAGTATATACAGTAATTTAGATTTAAGTCCCCCCTGAAGTGACTTAAAGCGGTTCTGTCACATCAAGCTTGCCACATCCTCTAACCAAACATGTTCTTCTCTTTGTCTCCTAAATTACATAAGACAAAGTAGAGAATACTTTGTCTTACGTATTTAACCTGTTCTTGACAACTAGTAACGCTTAAAGCAAGTAGAATTTTCCGGCAATACTCGCCTCCCAATCTTGACTGCATGTGGACAAGAAATCAATGTGGCATGGAGAATAGACAAACGAGGGCGAAGACCAGCCATCAATGTCAGGATCCTGTAAATGGCAGCATGGGTAAAAAAAAAGACCCACCACTGCAATTAAGGATTGGCAAAAAAGGTAAAAACAGGGCCTGTATTTAAAAAAAAATAAATAAAAAATACTTTGGGGGGAACAACAAAGACTCAGAGTGGGGAACATAAAAATAAAAGATTTTGGTCAGCTGATGACAAAACCCCTTTAAAAAAGTTTTTCATCCAGCAGTGAGTTGGGAGTCTGTCCACAGCTCCTCTTGTCCTCCATGATGATTTCCAAGTCATTGATTTCCTTGCACCAATAGAATCAGGGCCGTCTATAATATGATTAGGACCCTGGGCAATGCATTTTCTTGGGCCCCATGGGCCCTGCCACTGCCTCACCCCCCAATTACGCCCAACCCGCAATCACACTGACAGATGTACTGGCACATACACACACACAGGCAGACAGACATTAAAACTACACACAAATATATACTGGCAGACATACTGACACACACATACATACATACACAGACACATACATTAACAGATATACTGACACACACAAACACATACACTGACAGATATACTAAAACACAGACACATACACTGACAGACACATTGACACACACACACAGGCATACTGACATACACACTGACACACACACAGGCATACTGACATATACACAGACAGACATTAAAACATTCACAGATATATACTGACACACACATACACTGACATACAAATATATCCTGGCAGACATACTGACACACACACACACAGAAATACACAGACATACTGACTGACACACACATACACACACAGACATACTGACACACAAAGACATGCTGACACACACACACACAGACATACTGACATACACACAGACATTAAAACATTCACAGATACATACTGACACACATACACTGACACACAAATATATCCTGGCAGACATACTGACACACACACACACACACACAGACATACTGACACACACACACACAGACATACTGACACACACACACACTTACATACACACACAGACATACATACACACACACACACACAGACCTACTGACATACATTTAGTCACCCTCCAGGTTCTTACCTTTTCCTGGAGGGTGGTTTCCCTGGTCCAGTGGCAGGCTGAGGCAAATGGGAGTTCTCCTCTGGAACTCCCCTCCTCCCTACCTTCCTCCTTCCGCGCGGCCATTATCTCCGGTGGGAGGAAGTGACGTCACTTCCTCCCAGCCGGCTGCAGAACCGGAAGAGGGACCCGGTCGCGCTGTGTAAGCGCCACAGCGCCCGACCGGGCCCCTGCTGACACATGCTACCCGGGTGGCCCTTAGTGCAGCTGCCCTGTTTGCCCCGCGTTAAAGGATCACTGAATCTAATGCTTCTGTAGTAGAGGCCCTCACATCTGTGTTGAGTTCTCAGAGCAAGTGAGGAAGAGCATCCTCCCAACTATCTCATAAAGTTAATCGGTTCACAGCTTTTGAAATCTTTTTAAATCAACACTTTTTATTTTTTATTAAAAAAAGAAAAAAACGAGAACCTTTAGGTAACACCTGAAGCACTTAAGTAAGCAAGTGCTGTAGGGTCTGGTGTGCCCCATTAATATACCATGGGGGAACAAGGGCTGCGTTATGCCTGGTGCTGATTTTATTTTATTAAATTTCCAATTAGACTTCCTTTGCCTTAGACCTCTTTCTTCCAGTCTAAACGCATGATCTTGTGTCTTATATAAAGTCCTGTTTGTGAATAGATTTCCACGCAATGGTTTGTATTGGCCACAAATATTTGTTTTTCTACCTTTCTTCATAGCTAAAATGTTCCATTCCTTTTATTAATTTTGTAGCCCTTCTCTGCAATCTTTCTTGTGCAATAATATCCTCCTTTAGAACAGGTGCCCAAAATTACACAGCATATTCAAAATATGCTCTTACCAGCTATTTATAAAGAGGCAAAATTATATTCTCATCCCAAGAATTAACTATACTTCTACTTCTTCGTAGTTCGAATCAAGTTAGTTTGACATGACCTGTGCTTCATAAAATCATGCAGATTTTTGCTGATAACCATGTTCTTCTCAAGGAATTCTTGAATATTATCCCTTAATAACCTTTCAAATACTTTCCCAGCCACAGAAGTTAAGCTCACAGGTCTATAATTTCCAGGCAAGGATTTCAAACCCTTTTTGAAAATAGGAACCACATCCTCCTTCCTTTAATTTTCTTTTAAAATATCTAACAAATATAGAAGTGTAATAGAATCTTGCAACTTTCCCTATTACTGTTCTTATTAACAATGTGTGTTTGCCCACATAAATTAAACTTTCCGGATTTTTTTGTGTATTATACTGTTCTCTGTAAGTTCAAGACACTGTAGTACACGGGAATCCCAGAATGCTGTTTTTGTCAGGGAACAGTGTTTTGAACCAACAATCATACCATCCTCAATTGAACTTATATCATGTGTTTTTTTTTTTTTGTGTTCCCTATTCAATAATTTGTAAAATAACTGGTAAACCTCTTGACTACGCCTGCATATTTTATCTATTGTACTGCAGCCACGTGACATCCTCCTGCTCTGTTTGTAGAGTAGGTGTACCAAAAAGTGGACACTGTTTACTTATAAGGCTTCAAAAATACTTGTCTTCAATCATTCAAAATTAGATTTTGATAAACCAATAAAATCCTCATTTCATATGGATTCTCCCACAGTTTTATCATCAAACACAGGCTTATTCCAGAGCATTTGGTGATCCAATTATTTCAAAGAATGACCAACACCTTACAAAATTCTTGAAAACAAAGTTACACTGATCAACCACAACATTAAAACCACTGACAGGTGAAGTTAATAACATTGATTATATTGTTACAATGGCACTTGTCAAAGGGGTGGAATATATTGGGCATCAGGTGAACAGGCAGTTGAGTTTGAGAAAAAATGCACAAGTGAAAAGATCTAAATCACTTTGACAAGGGCCAAATAGTGATGGCCACATGACATCTGCAAAAAGACAAGTCTTGAGGGATGTTCCCAGTATGTAGTGTCTACCAAAATTTGTCCAAGGAAGAACAACCTGTAAACCATGGTCGTGGGAGCCCGAGGCTCATTAATACATGTGAGGAGTGAAAGGTTAACCCATTTGGTTCAATTGCATAGAACTACTGTAGCTTATATTGCTGAAAAACCGAATGCAGGCCAAGATAAAAAAAGGTGTCAGGATACACAATGCATCGCAGTTTGCGGCAGACTGGTCAAAATGGACATGATGGCTGTCACGGCTTACCGGGAGTTGGAGCCCAGGTGCAGGAGATGGAACACGGAGGCAAAAACCAAAGCGCAGTACAGATGGTGATATCCAAAGGCAGGGTCAGGCGAGAAGCAGAAGTCACTGCCGGCAGCAGAGT